TTCTCACCCCCTGTGCTCCTTACCACCCATATCGGATCCATCAGGTCTCTCTTGGATAGTTCACGTTCCCACTCCCAGTCTCTCTGCTCCAGCTGGCTCAGGCCGCCGTCATCTCTGCCCTGGAATAATACCTCAGGAGGCTCCTGACTGGTCCCCTGCATGTCTTTGTGGGTCCTCTGGAGCTTGTTCTGTACCAGGAAGCCCGAGTGATAGTCTTAAAACACACATCTGATCACCACACCATTCCCTTTCCGACCTTTTCGTAGCTTCTCATTGCTCTTCCACGCTATCCCACAGGGTTTGCAAGCCCCTGCTTAGCCTGTCCTCTTTTGACTCTTAACTCATCGGTCTCTGCTATACCGAGTCTTCAACCATATTGGTCTGTTGGGTTCCTGGGTTAGACCAAGTTCCTTCTGGGCCCAGATGTCTGCTACATCATGTTCCTCCCAGGTGCTATCCTTTGGTTGGAAAAAAACCCCTCCTCGTCCCTAATGAATTATTCCAGGTTATGGGTTGTGGGTCTTACTGGGCCACAGGTTGTGGTCTGCGAGTGGAGTTTGTCTCAGTCATAGTCCTGTCCTTAGCACCAGGCTGTTAGTAAAGAATATGTTAGTTAAATACATAAATGAAGCATGCATAGCAGCTCCTTGGGCTCCTCAAAATGAATAAATAGATCCAGTTATCAAATGCCTGCCCTTTCAGAATCTGTTCTCAACCCCCAACCCCTGTAGAGGTTTGTTTGGCCTAGGCACTTGGTTATTTTCTCTCTTCAGTTCAGGCCCATGGACGTTTCAAATGGGGAAGTACTGATCAGAGTTTTTCTTTGGCTTTGACTCTGGGTACAGGATGTCTGGATGTGAGTGTGGCCACTTTGAGTTTGGATTCTTAACTGAGGGCCTTTGGTGTGAGAGAAAAGCTGTTAACAGGAAGGCTGGCTCCAAACTACATAATGGGAGGGGTGGGTGGGCCAGGCCAAATCACTGGTAGGAAGGCTCCAAAGGGAAGTTGTTTTTCCAGCCTAGGCCAGATCTTTCGGATAGGGAACAACATACCTAAGGCCCTGACCCACTGCTCTGATTCAGAGGTGAAGGTCTGCTATCTGCAGGTCAGCTCAGCACTTGGTGATCATTCAGTAGGGAATAGAAGAGGCAGAAAAGACAGGTTCCCAGCCCTCAGAACAGGAGGAGAAAAGGAGAACAATATGTGACCATATGTTAAGGCCACCATGGGTGTGAGAAGCTGCAGACCGAGGTCAGAGGAGGGAACAATTGATCTTGGCTGGAAGAATCCAGAGATGATATTTTGAACTGGGCCTGGAAGGAAGAGGGAGGACAGACAGATGGGACCAGTGGGAGCGATTCTCTGGGACCAGAAGAGGTTGCAGCCAGGGGAACTCTGACAGTCCCAGCACTGTGGATCTCATGACTGCGGACGGTCAGGTGCTGCGCTCCCAGGCCTGCGGCTTCTCCTTGTGAAGGGTGACTCCAAGCCTGGGTTGTATTCTGAAATCTCTTTCAGAAATCTCTCCTCCTTTGGGTTTTTTCCCTCCAACGTGGCCTTTACATTTTCTCAAAACAGTCCAGCGAGGTCAGGAGCACCTGGGGTTTGTCTGTGCGTCTGTTTGCTCATGGCCTTGGACTAAGTGGTTGGAGTGTGGATGATGCAACTTGTTCATGGGGCGGAAGGGAATTGCTTATGCTTTTTTTCAAGTGTGGCAGTTTAAGGTGTTAGGTGGCAGTCAGATTCCCTGCTGTCATTGCAGCACTTGGAGGGAGTTTCTCCATTGTGTTCATAGATTTGGCTTTTGTTGTGATCTAAGACAGGCTACCTTGGAGATTTACAGGTTTGGTTCCTGGCCACCACAATGAAGCGAATTTCGCAATAAAGTGAGTCACGTGAAGTTTTTGGTTTCCCTCTGCATGTGAAAGTTATGCAAAAGCCCTGGCTTAGGTAGCTCAGCAACAGAGTGAAGTATGCCCGTAGTTAGAAACCTGCAACAGCAAACCACGGTGGGACGTGCTCAGCATTCATGGTTCTTGGCCGCTATTCTGCCTCCCTTGAAGAAGGGGATCATTTGGACCCATAGTTATTACACTACCGATCACTTTGGTGTTCTTTGAATAGAACCCTCCCCTCCCCCAATTGGATATGCTGAGTTTCCAACCACATAGTTGTAGGAAATGGTGCCATGGGTTTAGAGATCGTTTAGTGCAACTATCAGTTACATTGACATCAAAACTTGGCAGCATGTTGGTAAAGTAAGAAACAACCTCCCCTGCCCAGGGACCACCATGGCACACAGGCTGAGGGCTGTCACCGGACTGTGCTTGATGCTAGGAATGTAGATGCAGGCCCCACCCTCACAAAGCCCAGTCCAGCAAAGGGCACCGGCAGTAACTGGATGACGTTCAAGACCTGGCTCAGAGCTGTTGCCTGAAGGGACGCGCTCAGGAGCGTGTGGGAAGAGCACTAAGCCAGGCCTGAAACGGAAGAAGGCTTGCTGGAGAAAGAGGCAGTGAAGGTATGGGAGTCTGAAAGGCCGGGGAGGAGCCGGCCTCCCACTCTGATCCCTGCCGCCCAGAACTCTGACACACTGTTGTGCCCTGTTCCGGCCTGAGCAGTCACTGCCGAGCAACTCGAAACCTTGTTTTCTGTAACGGCTACAGTGACAGCAGCCTTACCGGGGTCTGGACACTTTCATTTGGTAAAACTGGAAATGAGGTTTCTGTTTCTGAATTATTTTCCAGAAATGAGAACTGGAAGCCCCTTTTTCATTCCAGCCATATAACATTGGAACAAAATTATGGGATGAGTTACATTGAATACAGATTTGTAAATAAAAAGCACGTTTACAGTAGAAATTTTAGAAGCAATAGAAAAGTAAAAATAAAAAGCACTACTAATCTCATGACTCAGAGTTAATCTTGGCCAAAACCAGTTTGGCTCAGTGGATAGAGCGTCGGCCTGGGGACTGAAGGGTCCCAGGCAGGTTCGATTCCGGTCAAAGGCATGTACCTTGGTTGCAGGCACATCCCCAGTGGGGGGTGTGCAGGAGGCAGCTGATTGATGTTTCTCTCTCATTGATGTTTCTAACTCTAACCCTCTCCCTTCCTCTCTGTAAAAAATCAATAAAATATATTAAAAAAAAGAAGATAATCTTGATTTTTAGTTGTTCTCTGTGTGAAATATACATACATTTAAATATATATATATATTTATATTGATTTCAGAGAGGAAGAGGAGAGAAAGATAGAAACATCAATGATTAGAGAGAACTATCAACTGGCTGTCACCTGCTCAGCCCCTATGGGAGATCCAGCCCGCAGTCTGGGCATATGCCCTGACATGAGATTGAACTGTGACCTCCTGGTTCATATGTTGACACTCAACCACTGAGCAACACCAGCTGGGCTACATGCATTCTTTTTTACAAAAGTGAGTTTTTCTTTACAGACTTCTGCAGCCTATTTTTTGTTTGATATATATTGAACATATTTTCCAATTATTGGCATATCGCATTATGGTATCCTTCCTTAGTAATAAGACTAGATGCTGCCTTTTCACCCTTAAGTGATACATCCCAGTGACTGTTGTCCCCTATACTGCTGATAGGCAGCGTAGGTTTGGAAAATTTTCTTCAATGTAGAAGGACTGACATTTTCCAAGGACCTTCCTTTTAGGATGGGTGAGGGGGCTGCAACACGTCTACTTCCCAGCTCAGGTACAGGGAGCAGAGATGGCAGAGCTTCGGAGCTGAACTCTGTGTGTAGCATGGGAAGGGTATGACCAGTAGCTGTGCTTTATCTTTACTGCTATAGGTTTGGGCCCTTGTTATCCAGCAGAATCTGCACTGCCTTTTAGGAAGTGAATGTGTTAGTCGGGGCTTTCTTTTTATTGATGTGCAGGTCTCCTGGCTTGTCCGTCCCTTTCCTGTTGGAGGTCAGTCCATAAGCCCCAAGAAGGACCAGTTTAACAGTCAGTAAAGCCCTGCCTGAGCCTGGGTGGGGAATGTTGATGGGAACAAAGCACTCCTGACCTCGGGGAGCTTGCTCTGTAGCTGACTGTCTTCCTTTTGTTGACCACAATCCCAGGTCTACCCAATGGGAGTACTTGATGGAATCCTAATTTACCCCACCTTTCCAAAGCTCTTTCATGTGGTTAAACTACTTGCCTCTGTCACAGCCCTGAAAGTGGACGAGGCACGGGGTAATGTCTTCTTCTCTGTGCTGGCCTTGACCTGACCCACCTCATCGCTTCCTTCAACTACCTTTGCTCCACTAAATACCTTCCCAGCTGTGCTGCCATTCTGAAAACAAGCTCCGATCCCATCTCTCACTCAGGAACCCCCAGGAACTTCAGTCCCATTGGCTGACCCTGCCAAGTAGGTTCAGTACTGCCTGGTCAACCTTGGCAGCCTGTTGTTCCTACTTCACATTCTCTGGGCTCCAGACCAACTAAACCACTTGGAGTTTCTTTCCCATTTCGCTGCACCTGCCACTTGACTCCCACCGTTCCCTCAGTCCTTCAGTCCCTGCAGGTCTATCCAGGCCCAGCTGGAGTCCCCAGGCCTGTCAGCACTCCGATTGTCCCTCACCCAGAGGAAACTTTCTGTGAACTCTCAGAGGGTTTATCTGTCTTTAGGACACCTCACTTTCTGCCTTCATGAGCCCTCTCAGTAGAAAGTATTGCTCTCACCGGACTGTAAGCTTCTTGTAGGCAGGAATGATCCTCAAACTCATTGACGCTCTCAGTGAGTTGATTAGCCTTCTGGAGGTGCTTCATGAAGTGGCATAGACCTGTACATTTGAGTGATGGGGACCTAGAGTGTAGTGGACTAGTGGCAGAGCTGGCCTTGGAGTCCGTTTAACATACTCTCTTCCCCAACTTTGCTCCTTTCTCAGGTTTCTCAGGAGCACACTGTTTTGAGTCTTGAAAAAACTTCAGTTCTGGTGTTCTCACGTTCATCTTCTGTGTTCCCCACCTCCCAGGTGCCAGCGACCATGAGATCTCTACAGCTGCTCAGAGCCCCCTTCCTGTGCGGCCTGCTCTGGGCCTGTTGTGCCTCAGGTACCAGGGCCGAGCAGCATGGGGTCGGTTCTTCCCATCCCGGCAGCATGGGGCTGGATAAGCACACGGTGCACGACCAAGAGTACGTATTCAGCCAGTGCCGTGGCCAGGGGTCTCCCTCTGCAGCTGCAGCCAGCTGCGATGGCACATTCAGTCCTCTTTTCCTTCTGCTTACATTTTTCAAGGATGATATGGATTTCTTATACCACCTGTCAGTCAGGTATTCCTTTTTTCATCATTATATCACCAGTGGAGGATCTGGAGGCCCAAATGGGATAAATGACTTGCCTGAAGCCATTCTGTCTCTCACCACAGATAGATGCGCGCGTGCGCGAGCGCACACACACACGCACACGCACACGCACACACTCATATACGCACGCAGTAGCGGTGGTGGAATCCAGAATAGAGCTAAGGTTTCTTGACTGCGACAAGACCATTTTCTTTTTTTATTGGCACAAACATTGAATCATTTGTTGCAACTTTTGTCTTGGGCCAGTTGGCCTTATACCTTACACTCTGTTATCCTTGAATCGCTTTAAAAAGAAGAAAAAAAAAATTGATAGCCTCAAAAACTGTAATAACAACATTCTAGTAATAAAGAGGGAAAAAATCACTCATACTATTGCCAGCATAATAGATGCAGGGTTTCATTTTATTCCTGCTCCCTTCACGGCCTTGCCTATACCTGCCATCCTTGAGTGTGGTCTGCCCCTGTTTCTCAATGGATGAGTTTCAAAATTTGAACTTTTAAGAGCCCTTAAGGTTTCGGCCTGATCCCACTGTCCCTGCCAAGTGGCCTGAGCCTGACTGTTGATTTCTAGGCATATCATGGAACATTTAGAAGGCGTCATCAACAGACCTGAGGCGGAGATGACTCCACAAGAGCTGCAGCTCCATTATTTCAAAATGCACGATTATGACGGCAATAATTTGCTTGACGGCTTAGAACTCTCCACAGCCATCACTCATGTCCATAAGGAGGTAGGTCAGGCAGCGGTGCCCGGGGCAGCCTCGCGGTGAGGCCTCCCTTCAGTACTTCCGTCCCCCGCCTTGATGACCCGTGCCGCCCAGTGCGATAGTATTGTTCCTTTTCTTCTTTCTGCTTGCCACTCTGTTCTGTCCCTTCCTAGTTAGTGGTCCTTCTTGCAGAGGGTGGCCTGCTACAGCTGAAGCCCCAGGGCCTTGTGTCTTAAGTAAGAGCTACAGGCATTTCTGCTGCATACTAGAGTTTGAAAGCCTGCACCCAAAAGGCAAACCATGTTCAAAATGCAGAGCAGGGAGGACGTCATGTGACTTGAGAAGAATGGGGAACCAAGGGACTGAGGGGCTCAGCAATAATGGAGGGTCTGTACAGTGCTGCAAACAAAGCAGTTTGCAAAGCAGTTTTAAGTAGGTTAGAGATCTCACCCGACCTTGGCAACAGCCTTGGAGAAGGCAGGGGCAGGCCTTCTTATTACATGATTTTAGAGGGGAGGAAACTGAAATCGAGCTCTTTTGTCTTCAGACCTAATGCCTGTTCTGCTCTGCACACTGCAGTGCAGTGAGAGGAGGGGAGGCAACGTTGGTGAGCAGAAGAGCAGGTTTGGGTTGACTGAAGGCCGAGAGGAGAGCTAATAGCTCCATACTGAAGACGGTGTGACTAGAGCAGTGTTTTGGGAACATCCTTTGCTGTGGGAGGCCGACTGATAGGCATGAGGGGAGTCTGGTATGAGCAAGAAGAATGGGTTCAGAGGCCTGGCAGGCGAGGCCTGGCAGGCAAGAGGCCATAGGAGAGGAAAGGTAGATATGGGAGAGGTGCCAAAGGAAGATTCGTCACAGGATGTGAACAAGCGATAGCTTAGCTCTTGACACAGTGAGCCTGTGGAGCACGGTCTGCTCTGGTCGGCAGGCCTTCTTTCTCTTGTTCTCACTCAAAGGTGGACAGTTTCTTACTGTACCAGGGCAAATGATGCCCAGAGCTGGTCCTCAGGAGGGCCTGAGCTGTAAGCTTTTCTCTAGGATGGGTTTGTAGGCCCTGGAATCTGTGAAATACATTATTCTTAAAAAAAAAAAAAAAAAATTGTTGAAAATATTACATATGCCCTCCCTTCCCCCATTGAACTCCTGTAGCCCACCCCCACTCCCTGCTGAAGCACATAATTCTGTATAAACATATCTAGCTTTCTACAGTGAATATGGGTGCCTTTATTAATAAGAAAAGGATGAGAAGTAATTTTTAAAATAAATAAGCAAGTGCCTACTTTGATTATATCTAACTGGCAAATATAATTTCTAAATTAGATTATTGTGAATTGACTATATCTGATAAATGGTTTATAGATTCCTAGAAAGTAGCCACATTGAAGGAGTTCTTAGGCACCTATGAGCATGAACATTTTGGAAATTGGCTAATCACTTCCAGTAAAATGTGCCAACTCATTGTCTCATTTAACTTTTGTAGGGCGGGAATGAACAGGAACCACCAATGAGCGAAGAGGAACTGATTAATTTAATAGATGGTGTTTTAAGAGACGATGACAAGAACAATGATGGATACATTGACTATGCTGAATTTGCAAAATCACTACAGTAGACATTGACCACCTCCTAGTTATTATGCAAATGTGACCCATTATAATGTGATTGAACACGTTCAGTAATGCAGAATAATTCATTTCCAATTACTGCTGAAGTATTTTGGTAAAAACCTGTAGCAAGTGTGACACTGGTGTGAGAAAGAGAAGTCAAGAGAAATTGGACATGCTGTCCCCAAGTACTGTTAAATCTCCTGTTGGACAAGGACTCGGTTGAAGAGTCTTTGTAAGAGGATTGGAAAATTGGAGCTGAGGACTCAGGACCAGGACTGTAGAATACTGCTGTCCTCTTGGTTTTCATTCATGCTACCTGAAGAGTAGACGAGCTTTGCCAGGTGGACACACTTTTCAGTAACAGTGAAGGAATGGGATCAATGCCAAATGTCCCCCCTTGTGGGCTCTGTCTCTTCGGGAAAACGTGGTCAGTATTCTGTAAAGTTCCTTGGCTTAAATGATTACTTGCTTTGGGCAAGTGAGTATTGATTAAGCTATTCCAAGGCCACAGCCTCACGTGAATGTCAGATATTGAGTTCAGCTATCCAAAGTCTGTATCTTCTGGCACTTGGATATGATACACCACTGACCTAAGAGATGAACCTTTTTCAGTTTTTCAATATTTTATGAAACTACTGCCATATCCTTATACTTTTATTTCTTTCATGTCTTCTTAAACCTGAGAGAGACCTTGAATTTAAAACTGTTCTCTAATCAATAGCACATGTTTTAGCTTTCTTAATATTTGTATTTAACTCTTGTTTCTAGAGTTTCACTTTTGCAGTTTAAAAACGTAGGCATGCAAGGATTTTCCCTTCTGCTTGATACAGTGGGGGTAAAACTACTAGCTGCCGTAGCCAAGTGCAAGTGAGAAGATCATTCACCAGGCACAGTAATTAACCTGATTCAAGTTGTATTTAGAAAGAGTGTTGTTTAAATGACTCCCTCTAGCCTAAATATGTGAATTCTTTCAGGTCAGGAAAGATTGGAAAGAGAAGCCTAAAAACTCTCAATGGTGTGAGTCTCTGTAATAGCTGAAAGTGAGAAGAAGCAGCAAATTGTGATTTGGTTTATTGGATGTGATGGACGTACTGTGACAGAAAAATCATAAAATGATGATTGAATGGGGGAAAGCTGCATAAAATTTACTGTAAGATCTATAGAGACTTATTTTCTTTATTGAAGTATTCTTATAAGAAAACATGTATTTGTAAAAATGGTTTCCTGTGTCACGTATTTGTGCAATCAGAGCTGAATTATAAACTATTCTTGTAAAACCTAGTTATTTTGAAAGATTTATATAATGAATTCTGGATATATGACCAATAAAACTGATGAAACAAAATGTAGGGCCATTGATTTTGTTTAATAGGCTTCTTCTCCCATCACGTGAAGGCTTTGTTTATCTGATGCAGATGTTTACATGTGCCTGCTCTAGTGACCCTCCCTACCTCTGCCATTGCTTTTGCAGGGGTCAATTCCCAGTATTCAGTCACTTTCCTCTTTTAGACATTTTTTTTCCTTCTTCTGAATGAAATCACTTTTTGGACCTTTTTTCCTGGCTGAGTTCAGATTATGACAACATTTTCTGGCTTAGGAAAACACAGTGTTTTCTCCCTGAGTCTGGTGACTATTCTCTTTGCTGGAAAATCTAATTAGATAGCTTTATTGCAAGCCTCCCAGGCCCAAGCAAAAAGTACAGTTCCCCCCTCCCCCTGGCTTTTTGGAAATAACATTTTGTTCTGCCAGTTGAAAAGCAAGGAAAGAAGTTGCCATTGCCTTTTACTCTTCAAGATCCTTGGATCTTGCACTGTCCCTTCTTCATCCAGAGCTGCCCCTCTGGACAGATCTGGTGAGTGGGCTTATGGTTGGAGGAACCTCATACTGTTGGCAGCTAGGAAGTGGGGCTAGGAGGCCGCTGGGAGGAAGAGAAGCAGATCCTTAGAAGGTAGACTCATCCCGTTAAAACAGGATGGACACTTTCCCCTGCATAGCTGGCCTTTGTGGTCCTGTTAGTTTGCCTTTCCTTACAGAAAGTCTCCCTTGTGAGTGAGGGGACACAGCATGATTAGTCTTTCCCCAAAAAAACCCTTTCCAGTACCTCCCTTCCCATCCCCTCCCTGAGGCCTTGGCATTCCCATAGCTCACATCAAGGGTTTTCCAGAATGATTAGAAACACCTCTGTACTCAGCTTCCTTATCTCTAAAATGGAGGTAAATATACCCCAAAGAGTCAGCCTTATATGAGCACAAACTTTGGACTTGGGCAGGCCTAAGCTGAAACCCTAGGCCTGCTAGTCTATGAACTTTAGTTTCTCATGTAAAAAATAGCTTTAATAATACACCTACAGAGTGGTTACAAGGATGAACAAAATGAAGAAAAATATATAAAGCATCTAGAAAGTGCCTGGGAGAGTAGGTGCTAAACACAAACCTAACCTGTTCTCAGCCTTGCTGAGGAACCTAGTCCTGCCCTCAATGAGCTGGAGAAGGACAAAGAAATTGACAAGTCCTCAGGGGCATGGATCTAATAAATATCCATTGTTTGTTATTTTTTTTTTGGATTTCAATATCTTACGGAGAAGAGAAAAAAGAAAAGCTTTATTTTATAAAGTCACATGCCAGGCTTCCCCTGAAGTTTCTGAGGGGAACACAAATATTCTTGCCCAATAAAAACATGCTAAATCACATTTGACTTCAAGAGGGAATTTATTATCACCAGAATTTAATCAAATATCCATCAGGAAATTAGTAGCAGGAGCCATGAATGTTATGTCTGAACTTCTTGGATGTTAAATAATTATAGGATTTCTGCTTCTGACAAGATGGACTCTAAGCACAACAAAAACATGGGACATTATGCATAAGACAAACATAAGCAGACTGGAAGGTGGAGAGAAGTCAGACTGGCTAGAGGCCTTGGAACCTAAGCAACAATATGGAGATAAGTTTCCTGTCTTTTTTCTCTCTCTTATATATTCTCAGACTTGGAGCTAAGGAAGCCAGCAACCCTGAAATGCCAAAAGGAGCAGACATTAAAAAAAAAAAAAAAAAAAAAAAAAAAAAGAAAGAAAGAAAAAAATCTTTCTCTAGCCAAAGGATGAAGGAAAGGCTAGCCTATAAGGCAGAAAACTTTTAGACAATAACTTCTCTACTCCAGTCAAACCCTGCAGCGAAATCTTGCCCTGCCAACAAAGGCTGACTGGGGAGTCTGGACTTCCACCCTTGCCAAGCAGTCACGAGGTGCCCCTCCGCCTTCCTGTATTTGAGGTGATGCCAGAGGAGGCCAAGTAGGGAGCCGGAATTTGCATTCTCTTCACGCCCTGGGCATTCATAAGCCCCCTGTCTCCTGCCAACAGGGTCAGTGGAGAACACACAGGGGACCTGGACCTGGGCTTCCCTCCCCTTCCCCCCTGGGTGTTCAGAGGAGGCTAGTGGAGGGTCAGGACCTTCACCACTGCCCGGGGATAACAGGCCCACCTTGCACTGCAGTGTAGAAGGCCATGGCGGGGGCAGGGGATGCGGGGCAGTGTGCACACTCCCTCCCCTTCCCAGCAGTAATGAGGAGCTCCTGGCCTTGGGTGTCAATGGAGGCCAAGTGGAGAGTCTGGACATCTCCCTCCACCTGTCAGTAATGAGGCAGCACCCTTCCCTTCCCCTGCCAGAGTGATGTCTGAAAGCTGGTTAAAACAGAGGTTTAAATAAGTTCCAGTCTCATTACATAATACAAAAATGTCCAGATTTCAATTTAAAAAATCATCATACCAAGAACCAGGACACCTCAGACTGAGGGATAAAAAAGATGCCAACACTGAGGTAACAGATGTTAGAATTGTTGGACAAAGTTTTTAAAACAACCATGATAAAAAAAAATTACTTTAACAATTATGACCATGCATCAAACAGAGAAAGAACCACAACCAAGTCTCAGCAAAGAAATAGAAAATATAAAGAACCAAATAGAAATTTGAGAACTGAAAAATATAACCAGTAAAATAACCAAAATTAAAATATTACTGCATAGGCTCAGTGGAGTGGAGGGGGCAGAGGAAAGAATCGGTGAACTGGAAGATAAATCAAGCTACAATCTGACCAACAGAGAAGATGGACTACCCATGAATGTGCAGAGCCTCTGGGACATGTGAGACTGGATCAAAAGATCTAATATTCTTCCCACCATCAGAGTCCCAGAACTGGAGGAAAAGGAGGCAGGAGCTGAACAGGGATTCAAAGACCTACAGGTTTAAGAAGCTGAGCAAACTCCAAAGAGAAGGAGGTGGGGGAAAAGAGGAAGGGAATTAAGAAGTACAAACTGCCAGTTAGAAAATAGTCCTGGGATGTAATGTACAGCATAGGGAATATAGTCAATACTACAGTAATAACAACATAATGAATAACTAGACTTATTCGTAAGGTATATGAATGTTCAAACTAATACAATATTTCAACTATAATGAAAATAAATTTTAAAAAGAAAAACAGTTAAATACAATAGACCTTCCTTCTCTCGTATATTTAATCATTGAAGTAAAAATTATAATACGGTCTGATGTGATTCTAAGTATAAGTAGAGGAAATATTTAAGACATTGATGTTGCCAATAGGGGAGGGTAAAATAATGCAAAGAAAAGTAAGTTTTTTTATACTTAAGATGGTGACTGTGAAATAAAACAGGCACCCTGGAAAACAATTAGGCAGTTTCATAAAAAACTAAGCATGCACCTTCCATGGGGTCAGCAACTGAATTCTTGGGCATTTATATTGGCACAAAACCTGCACATGAATATTTAGAGCAGCTTAATTTGTAACTGTCCCAAACTGGAAACACTATTTGCCTGTTGATGTCCTTCAACAGGCAAATAGTGAAACAAGCTCTAGTTATCCATTCTGCAGGACACTATTCAGCAACCCAAAGGAATAAACTGCCAATATGGACGGCGACCTGGAAGAATCTCCAAGCATTATGCTGAGGAGAGAAAAAGTCAGTCCCAGAGGGTGACACACCG